GCTCCCGCAGGGGGCACAGCTCCCCCCGAGCGCCCCGGGGGCGGCGCGGCCTGCCCGCGGCTGCCTCCTTTCCCCGTAACGGACCACATCGACCCTCAAGTTATTTCCGATTTCTCCCTCCCTCCCCGACACTTCGGACCACACACTTCCCCTCCCTCGCGCTCTGCCCCGTGTAGTCTGTAACCAAGAGCTGTCACAAAGCTGCGGGTAGGGGAAAACATATTTTCCCAGCTCCTGAAGAGCTACCGCCTACAAGACGAGTTTTGGGTGAGGGCTTTTGTTCAGCATCCCTTTGGTTTCCTGGTACTTCTGGGGAAAGGTGCCGCGTGCCCCCCCATCGCTCATGTTAAAATAATTCTGCGAGATGACAAGTACCGTTTCAGTGCACTGCATAAAACACAAAGGGCATCAGCACACTGAGCTTTCATCGTAACTGCACGCAACTGCAAAATAAGGCAAGTTTAGTACTAATCTTTTGGTACGTTAGCCTTAATAATTTAACTTGTGTCAAAGTGACACATTATTGATTTAGATCTGCTAAGGTAAGTGCTATATACAATCAGAAGAGATTTAAAAAAAAAAAAAAAAAAATCCACATGCAGCCAGAGCCTGGGAAATTGCAGTCTGCGTTTCTGCAGCAGAGATGTTTTCAAAACCGAAAGATATACGCAACCCTGCGAACTTTACATTGTTTTAGTTTAATTTCCTAACTTATTTCAGAATTGAAATCTACTTCACTCATCAGCTTTTTAGAGCTCTTACGCAATGACTTACTGTACAAAAAGTGATTTGTAATACTTAGTTTATTAAAATATCTTAAGTTTAATTTCAATTAAAACAGAGCGTGCAGTATTTCAGAGTATACTGCATAAGAGGTCTTTTCAACATTCCATAATCCATAAATTTTGAATTTATGAAGCATCACAAAATGAATACACTTGTACTTTCAAAACAAATTCAATATGAATACAGTATCTACAGCGCTTTGAAGTACACAATACATTGTTGATCTACCGTCACGGAGGAGATCAGAAATTTGAGATAAAGTCACACACCACTGAGGAAAGCAAGCTACCTCTTCAGTGCTGAAGTTGTTTCAGTCTAAGAGGGAGACAAAAAGAAAGAGAAAATTGAAGAGCTACACACAACATCAGGAATATTTAGTTACTTGAGCAGTTTCTTAAGCCTTAGTCTGAAGTAACCACTTTTTATCTCAGTGATGCAAAAAGACAGGCAAACCCAAAGAAAGCACAAATACATAACAAATTCAATTCAATTTTCAAAGCAATAAGAGGCAGAGCCTCCTGGAAGGCCAACTTTTCCTGTTTGTACCAATCCAATCCACTAAACAAGTAGACTACAATGACTTTGCCATAATAGGGACAGCTGGATGTGATACTTCAACAAATACATTGAGACCTCCTTCAGCTAATAAGAATCAGCTTAGCAGGAACGCACACGACTCCAGCATTGTTCTGCTTGCTGCATTGCTTCTTGCTCAAGCACAGAATTACCTTAAACATCATTGCCACATCGTGCACCTATCTGAATTGGGTTTTTTGCTGATTATCAACAGACTGAAGCAGATTCGAAACACTCTGAAACAGACAATATTGCTTCTAAAAGTTTCCAAGTTAGGAGAGGTAGACAAAGTGATGGAAATACCACCACCTGCACTGACTCAATTTTTAATTCCCATTCAAAATACCTTCAAAAATTATCAGTCACCTATAACAATGATCTGCATTAACTCATACGTACAGAGTTGTCTGTTCAGTGCCCTTTACCCCACAAGACTTCTATCTTTAAAATTAATTACCGTAGAACTTAATATGCCTAATATTTGTAATCTTTCCTAACCTGTTTAAACAAACTGGTCAGTATTTTATATAAATAGAGATTGCATGATCCATATTTGTTGCAAATAGGTTCCCTGAAATGGCAAGTCATATAAATGCAAGTGCAGTGGATAACTAGAACAACTTGCAAGTGTTTCAGGAAATTTTCTATTTACCTTCTTAGAAGCTCTTTGGGCGACAAGCCTGTGGTCTCTATATCACTAAGGCTGTCACTGCTGTCTTCAGTGTCTGAGCTGCTATCTTTTTCTGATTTTTTATTCTTATGTTTTCCTTTGTTTTTGTGCTTCTTCTGTTTCTTTTTCTGTAAAAAGAAAAGAAATAGTCCCTTATTACATTACTTCTCATTTTGAAAGATGTAGGTAATTCTGAAAGGCAACAACACTGAAAAGAAAAAACAAATCCTTAAAAGCTGATTTCAGTGTAAAATGCAAGCTTAACAGAGACAAAACGCCAACAATAACACCTCTATCACTATTCAGCCGGCATTAAAAGAGGAAAAGTAAAATGACACAACTCATCCCAAATGCCCAACCCCCTAAACAAAAATTTGATTATTATTTGTACACGTCATGAATTATATACAGTTTTCAGAACATGCCTCAGTTCTTCCGCATACAAATTCAACATAAAAATACCTTTTCCTTTTTATGTCTGTGGTCTCTCTTAGTCCGGTGTTTTTCTCTGTTCTTTTTATGTTTTTCTTTCCTACTAGGCCCAGGAAAACTTGCTGGCACTACTGATTCTTGTTGCTGAATAGGCCCTAAATTGCAAAGCAAAAGTGGAAACTAAAAACATGAACAAATAAAGGTAACTATGATATTAAATTTCATATAAATTTTAAACTGATATGGGGTTTTAAAAATCTTAGCCTTCAAATGGAAACAGAATGCCTAAAGCTCCCAATTGTAACTTTCCTGCTCCAATTAAATACCTTTGCAACCTGTATTAAAAAAAAAAACAAGTAAACAAACAAACCAAAAAAAACATACAATGGTGGTCCTACAGCATTACGGTTTATTAACACTGCTTCTGCAGAGCTACGTCAAAGTTGCTATACAGGCAGAGGACCCTGCTAGCAGATCCCAGCATGGTAACAAAGCGTTTGCCAGTTCCAGTTTGACACAGCACAGGCATTTAAGAGGTAAATTAAGAATTCACCAATGTTTTTTTTAAAAGAAAAACACGATGCCACTTGCATACATCTTCAACGTATAGAATTTGTAAACTAAAAGTCTGCAGGACCTACCAGAAGAGAAAGCTGGAGGCAACTTTGGCCCAAATTCCTCTGCCACATCCAGTTCCTCCTTCGAAGCAGGCAGCAAAGGAAGGCCAAGCTCGGTTGTAGCAGCCACATTCTCTACCAAATTACAAAACCTTTTTTTATTTAACAGGAAAATAAGACAATACTTATTCTAAGAAGTGCTGAAGAAAGTTAAAGTAGACTTTCTAAAAGCTTCTAAGAAAACAAACAGATAAACTTTTTATCTCTCTATGGACTTCCTTGGCCATCTGGCGTGCTGACAACCCCAAACACGTCAACATACTACCCCCTTTCCCCTCCTCCCCTTAATCAAAACTGACCTTTTTACTCTACAATTACAAATTAATTAATATTGCTGCCTGGGCTTGCTTTCATTTAGTAACGTAGTGCTACTTCTTTGTTATTTCACATTAATGACAAACTCCACAACATCTACAAAGTTCATAAACACTAAAAATTAGATGTTAACAGAACCAAGTTTGACAGTAAGTTGACAAAGTATTTCCACTGTAATCTACTAAGTATAATGCATGTTTTGTTAACATAATGACATCCTGAAGACATAAGAACTTGTTACAGCCAACAGATTGGTCTTCTCCTTCTCTCATAGAAGTATTCTGGCAATTTTTATAACTAGAATACAAATAAAATGCAACTTACTGATGACTTACTAAAATTATTTCAACATTACGTTTTCCTGGAATGTCAATATTTAGAAAGGGAAATTACTTATCAAATACAGGTAACTTATTTATTTCTAAACTTGCAAATATCCTCAAGAGAACTGTAATTTATCATCTACCTTGTGACTTATTGCAAGTATAAAAATTCCCTCATATTTTCCTTTGAAGGATGCTTCGACACTGCATGTGCTGTTCCCCCTCCCAGTTTAACAAGTAAATTCCACAGGACAGCCTACTTGTAAAGTAGTATGCAAGACTCACAGCCACACAAATAACGCTGCAAAATGCAAAGTGTTATTCAGTACCGTCTTATCCAGAATTTCTACGTGTGCAGTTCATCTGGCACTGGTGGAGCTGGACGACCATGGTCCTGCTAGTCTGAGAGTGCTTAAACTTTTTATAAAACTACTACTGATTCATAAATAACACTTTTTCAAGATATATATGAACACAAACATCCATTAAGTACTACCTTGCATATTAGATGAGGAACTACCTGGTAGATCAACCTGCTTGGTAGTTTCTGAATTTATTACAGAAACAGTTGGCTGATGTTCTTCATCACTTTCTTCCTCAGAGGAAGATGATTTTTCATCTGAGGAACTCACAAAGATGGCCTTAAATAAGTCCATGGATGGTCTGCTTTCTTCTTCCTGATCCTGATCTTCATTAGCAATCTGTAAAACAACATCAGAAATAATATTTAAACACCAAAACTCTAAAGAATCTCTCTCTGGTAACACGCTGTCATGTGTTTACAGAACTATCAAATATCACAATAGATATGAAGTATGCAAGCTTAGAACTGTTAACCCAAAATAGTAAAACCTTGAGACACTGCTAAACAAAGTCATTTTTGTGTAAAGAGTACTGCACTTTGTGCTCTATGCACTGTTAAGAATAAAAAGATACTATACATTCTAATTCATTAAGTTAGACTTCAATTATACACCGCTAAAGGCGAATTTAAGCAAAAGGAAAAGATCACCTTTCTCCACAAGGTATGCGCCATCCTCCATTCAAAGCAGAAAAAAACATATATTCTGTGTCTGTGAGCTCAGTGGCTCTAAGGGACTAAATTTAACCCCCAGAGCGCTGAGCTACATTTTATCTTTCCTTAAGCTGCTCCTTCTAGTCATACTTGCCACGCTTGCATGCTGTAAAGGTTATACACCCCACAGTTATAAACCTCAAAGTTCTTAAGTGCAAATTCCACCTTCTCTTCGCTCATCCTGAGTTGACCCTTCTGTAAACCAATCTGTAAGATCTCAGTGCATATGCTACCC